TCGTAAATAAGATGTTCTAATATATTACAGATCAAGAGAGGCATTCTCTTTTTTTTCTTTAAAAAGGTTGGGCCAGCGGCGCTTGGGAGTGTGGCAGCGCTCCCGCCGAGGGTTCGGATCCCATATAGAGACCGGTCCGCTCACTGGTTGAGCGCAGTGCGGGCGCAACACCGAGGGTTGCGATCCCATTGCTGGTTGCGGTACGGGCGCGACACCGAGGGTTGTGATCCCGTTACTGGTCATGAAAAAAGACAAAAAAAAAAAAGGTTGAAGTTTGGGGACAGTTTTTTTTTTTTTTTTAAGTTAAAATTTATTTATTTATTGTGTGTGTGGGTGTGTGTGGGTGTGACCGGTAAGGGATTTGTAACTCTTGGCTTGGTGTTGCCCACACTGCGCTCAGCCAGTGAGCGCACCGGCCATCCCTATATAGGATCCGAACCTGCGGCCTCGGCACTCCCAGCACCACACTCTCCAGAGTGAGCCACAGGGCCAGCCTTTAAAATTTTATTTTACTCATAACTCAGGAACTTATGTGCCTGTCGTTTTGAATCTAGAGCTCTTCCCCCTGTGAGGGAAAGACAAGGAACCTGGAAAAGTCATCTGCCTAGAAGTGGGTAATGAAGTGAAGTGGGCAGAGGAGAAGACAGATGGAGAAAGTCCCCAATCTGATGTCAAAATACTCCTATAGTGTTGTAATTTTCAAACCAGATTTTTAAAAGCTTTTAATGCAGCTGGACCAGAGGGCAGCCATTGGGCAAGTGCACTGCCAAAGCCTCAAAACTCAGAACACTTAAGCAATGGCTGATGCTTGGTCCCTGCTTAATGCCTAGATTGGAGAGTTAAGGCAGCCACCAGCTCTCCATGATCTCTGTATGAATTTGGGGAACTAATGGGAAACACAAGAGCCATTGAAATTGTCTTTGAGAGCAAGTAACAAATGCACACTTAGTGTGTTGCCAACTATTTCAATTACTGAGATGCACCAGATGCCAGGTAGGAAAAAAAAAAAATCAGTGACAGTAAAAATTGTGTTTGTATTTTGTTCCCTTTCACTCTTCTATATGTTGCTACTCAACTTCCTAATACCATTTTTCTCCTCCGTTCCCACAAATATGTTGCAATTAGAAAGCTGTAATCAGTGGGAGAGACAGGCCATAGCGGGCTTAGACTATTTTGGCTGGCAGCAGAAGTCCCATCAACTCACTTTTCAGTGAATACAAAAGAAATATTAATTTGTAAAGTGAAAAAGTAATTTTAATTATTCTTAATTCAAAATGGTGAATGATTATATCTGTGGGTTAAGATTATTACTTTATTTTATTTTTATTCTTTTCTATATTTTTTAATTCTTCCTTATCCAAAGTGGGTCCCTAGCTGGGAGCTTGTTAGAAATGCAAAATCTCAGATTACATCCCTGACCGAGTGAATCTGAATCTGAATTTTAACAAAATCTCAAGGAGATTTATAGGCACATCAAAACTTTAGAAATATTGCTCTATAGAACAGAAATTAATTGTATACTCAGAAAAAATTGAATTAATTGTTTTTATTAGAGGGTAATTAGCAGTTGACTTGGAATGAGTGAGGCAGGGTTTTGGGAAATCAAATCAGGAAGATAACATTGTTAATTACCTCATAATAATTAATAGTTTAATATAGGCTGGGAGAGAGAGATGGGACTTTTAGGTTGCAATATTCCCCAAATTATCTGTTTTTTCTAAAGTACGTCAATTTTATTAGTCTGTAAATGTTTTCATCCTAGAGTATATTAAACCCTAAAAAGGCAATACATGGCACAAAGAACGGGTTGGGATTTGGAGACAGGATAATAAAATGGTTAACAATGTAAACACTGGGTGTCATTGCCCCTAAATTTTCTCATACATATAGAGGAGATTATATCTTCCCCACAGTTTATTAGTAAAACATTTATATTGGTAACTGGCATATGAAAAGCTTTTTGTAAATATTTGCTATTATAATTTGGAGTTAAACCTTATATTAATTTCCAGCTCCTACATTAACTAGGTGTATCACTTTCGGCAAGTTGCAAAATCTCTCCAAGCTTGAGCTTCTCTGTACAGACATAAAGTTGACAATAATCTCTGCCTTGTGGAATGATTTTAAGGATGAAATGAAGTACTGTTTATAAGTACTTACCAAAGTGCCTTTTATAATTATTTCTCTTATGGGCTTTGAATTATTATATATATTTAATCTGCATTTAATTTTCCAAACATTTATTTCTTCATGACCATTTCTAAGTAGTCATCATTCCTGACGAATTCCTCTTTCCTTTCCTTCTTTTGTTTTCTTTTTTCTGATTACAGTAAACTACAGAAAAGAAAACCAGTGTGCATTATGCTCGGAATTTTAATACTGAGGCCATAAAATCAAATATATGTATTTATTTCTATAGAAATATTCATATGTAGATTTCTTGATTTTTAAATAAAATATAATTACTTTAAAATTACTCTGTAGGCAAAAATCACAAAGGTTAATAATAAATTTAGCTCTGACACCTCAATTAAACAAATACAAACACATACATAATTTTAAATTTTTAATACCTTTCCACATATATACTTGAAACAATCCCATGAAGTTCATGAAGCAGATTTTGGTTAGCACCATCTTAAATTCAAAAAAGTGGAACATCTTCCCAAAATCCACTCTACTAAAGAATGATCAAGGGCTGGCCAGTGGCGCACTCGGTTGAGTGTGGCGCTTGGGAGCGTGGCGGTGCTCCCGCCGAGGGTTCGGATCCCATATAGAGACCAGTCCGCTCACTGGCTGAGCGCGTTGCGGGCGCGACACCGAGGGTTGCGATCCCGTTACCGGTCACGAAAAAAAGACAAAAAAGGAAAAAAAAAAAAAGAATGATCAAGCTGCCTTTTGAACGTAGGCACTTAGAAGTCCAGTCCTATGCCCTTTCTATTACATCATAGTGAAATTTCTACAAAATTCTTCCATTTTAGATTCCCTAAAATGCCAGCAGAGGTGTATTTTTATTGCGATTACATACAATTTGTCAATTTCAAGAAAAATGACATTTTAACAGTATTGAATCTTGTAAATTATTCATTCATTTTTTACAGCAATCTTGTGTTCTGCAACCTTAAAAATTAATTTATTAGTTCCAGCAGCTTTTCATGTATGTGTGTGTATGTAGATTCTATTACAGTTTTTATGTAGAGAATTTTGTCATCTGCAAATAAATATAGTTTGACCTTTTTTTTTTCCAATATGGATGCTTTTTATTTTCCTTTTCTGGCTTCTCCAAAATAATGTTAAGTAGAAGTAGTGAGAGTGATCATTTCTGTCTTTTTCCTGGTTTTATTTCTTTTCATATTTTTATTCTGATTTCTGTCAGGAACGGACACTATATCTCATCAAATGTTTTTTCTGCATTTACTGAGATAGTCATGTAAGTTTTCTTCTTTAGTCTGCTAATACTGTGAATTACACTGATTGACTTTTTAAATGTTAAATCAAGTTGTATTCCTGGGATAAACCCATTTTATCATGATGTATTATCAATTTTATTGATCTCAAAGAACTTGTTTTTAGATTCATTGATTTTTCTCTGTGGTTTTTCTCTTTTCTATTTCTTTGATTTTTCTTCTGGTCTTTAGTTTTTTCCTTTCTTTGTGTTGAGTTTAATTTATTGTTTTTCTAGTTTCTTAAGGTGAAACAGAAGTCAATGATTTGAGAATTTTCTTTTTCATCTTTTTTTTTTCATAGTAGTTTAGTTGTATAAGGTTTTATATTCTCATAAAAATTCCTGAGCTTTTTTCTGGGAGACAGTTAGCCTACTTGGAAACAGTTTGATTGTTTCATATCCTGCTTTTCAGATTTGTCAGACAGGACTAGACCAGCGTTTAGTCTAGGATTAATTATTCCCCACTGCTAATACAAGACCCTTCCAAGTACGCTACTCAGTGTCCCATGAGTTAAAAGATTTTTGAGTCTGGTTTGTATTAAAAGGCACGATTCCTGGACTCATGTGAACTTTGGGATTCTCCTCTCCAACCATTTGCAGTGGCTCTTTCCCCTACCTGGAGGTGTGGCTTCATACACAAATGCATGCACTTTTCTATACTTGACCGAATGCTCTAGGAAGACCCTCTGTCCGTAGTTACAGTTCTGTCTCTGTTGAGTTCTCTTCTGCGACACTCTGCTCTGTGAGGTCTAGCCACATTGTCCTCCCATAACTCTCAGATCCCATAACTTTCATTCAGGGAGCTGTCTAGGTTCTGTTTGGGTTCCTCCATGCTGTGCTGCCACCTGTACACTCTCTCTGGCTGTGCACTGTGGCGGTGCATGGGACACACCTCATTATTTCTTTTCACCCAGGAATCACTGCCCTTCCTTACCTAATGTCCAATGCATTGAATAACCTTGTTGCATATATTATGTTCAGATGTTTTAGTTGGGAAGGTAAATCTAGTCCCTTTTACCCCGTCTTAATCTGAGTGCAAGTGTGGGCTTTACTTTTAAACTTTCATTGTCAGACATGTCCATCCAGTTTAATGACTCACACTGTAAGCTTCCTGAAGAAAGAAACCTGGATCTTATGGTTCTTTATTTTTCACATAAAGTTCTGGGAACTTATTAAGTGTCTGCTGTATATCTGGTGATTTCTTAATAGAGATTATTAAATGTTGGTAATCTTAATTACTCTCATATTTTTGGCTTGCTGATTTTGTTGTATAATAGTGAAATAATGCAGTCATTTGTACAAATTGAATGTTAAATAGAAGTGTACTTAAAATGTTAAGTAAACATTTGAAACCCTGGAGGTGATTACAACATTTTAAATAAACTGTAAAGCATATTATGATAATCCATTCTGTGAAATGTTATTTTCGTTTGGTGATTTCTATTGGTTAAATCCAACTAATCTTAATCCTTTATTTTTTGAGGCAAAAAATGGATGTAAATATATGAATACCTTTATCTTCATTGTAAAAGTATGATATTTTAATTTATTCCAGGTGATTGTGAAATCTGGGCCAGGGACTTTCCTCAGTCTGGCTGTTTATGACAATTATATCTTCTGGTCAGACTGGGGGAGAAGAGCTATCCTGCGTTCCAACAAGTACACAGGAGGAGATACAAAAATTCTTCGTTCTGATATTCCACATCAACCAATGGGAATCATAGCTGTTGCCAATGACACCAATAGCTGTAAGTTACAATAGAAACCAAATTTTTTTCCTAATTGTATATTAAGTAATTTCTCAAAAATATATCTGTGTTTTCGAGTAGTACTTAGTTTGGTTTTCTTTTCTATTTTAAAAAATGCTTTCTTTTTTTTTCTTTTTATTTTTAACTATGTATAGATTTTGTTTTCTTATAGTTCTTAGGGATAGTGTTCAGGATTTGACTCTTTTCTGTATTGAAATTATCTGAAATGTTTAAAGAAACTTTTGTAGCACTTAATTTATCACAGGGAAATAATTCATTTTTAATTATTTGTTTCTGTAATCCTATTCCATTCTCTCTCACTCTTCATATCTCCGAACTTTCAAATCAGGTTATTTCCATGAAGATGATACTTCTTGTTAAATAAATCTTGCATCTGGGCTTAAAAATTCTTCAGTCATTGGAGTACCTACACAATTGCAGTTTGCAGTATCAACGTGGTTTCTAGTAGACCTAGTTCATTTGATGCCATGGTATCCCTGATGAGTGGGATAGAAAGATGTAGTGATTTGTGTTACATATAGTTTAATGTATTTGTCTTTAAGAATGTTTGGAATTTCAAAAATCCTGAATGTTTCTTGTTTATGAGATATCTTTGACAGATTCAGCCAGCCTAACATTTATTATTAATCTATGACTAATACAGAATAAGAAGGCAATATAAATTTTTACCAAGAAAGCCTCTTCATTGCAGGTGAACTTTCTCCATGTGCATTATTGAATGGAGGTTGTCACGACCTGTGCCTTTTAACACCTAATGGGAGAGTGAATTGTTCCTGCCGGGGAGACCGAATATTGCTAGATGACAACAGATGTGTGAGTAAGTAAAGAGAACTGAATTGTAATATGACACATCTGCTCAAAATGACACACACATACCTTGAAATTTTTTAAGTATTAATAAAATTGCACTCTCTTCCAATATTAGAAGCTCAGTTGGTTTCTCTCTCTCTCTCTCTTAAAAAGAACTTTGTATACCACTCTACTTAGTTATAGCGCTGTGTGCTAGATAATGATAACCAGAATGGTGACAAATATACTTCCTCGATTGTGGGCTGGAAGGTGTTGGGGCTAGCTAGAGGAGAACCTCAACACAGTGATCATCTGAAAACTCCTAGTCATGACTTTGTGAATTCAGTCAATAGCAAAATTAATTAAAACGGAAATAAACCAGGCGGTAGATCTGTAGCCTTGCAGTAAAACCACTCACAGTCCATCACAGTATGTAAATGCGAGAGAATGGCTCATGCAGCTTATTTGTAATCATTTCCAAACTGTTAATTAAGAATGTAACATTGCAGCCTTGCGTGATGTTTATACCTCCCAAAGGCATTACAGTCTTTAATTAGTGCCATTACAATATACACTTATTAACAGCTAGGTTTCCAAAACTGTTTCCAAAATAAATAAGGGCTCAAGTGTTCCAATATCGCCATGAAAAATTAGCAAATAACATAAAAAAGGTTAATTTCCTTTTAACATTAAGACCGTTCGTGTATAAGAAAGGTGGAAAAGAGAAATATCTTGTTAAAAATTGTGAACTCACTCCCAGGTTGTGTCAATTTTTGACATTTGTTTTCTCCCCTCCTTTACATCCTCATCTCATATCTTTTCATCTTAGAAAATTTGTAGAACTAGATATGTCTACGTTATAAAATAAGTATTTTTCATCCCCATCTTCAGTCTTCTTTTGGTCTTTATCCCACAGGAGGATTTTCACCTGCTCTTTACTTTAATACAAGCACTTTGGCATAATTTTCTTTACCTTGAAAACAATTGCACCTAATACAATAACACAGACATATCTTCTCACTTTGCAAATTGATACCACAACCCGAAAGGGCACCTCTTAACGAAATGGGTAAAAGTTTTATTTAAGACTGTGCCAAAGCAAATGAGAGAATGATGCAATTGTTCAGTGAATTTAAATGCAGATAGCCAATTTCAATAATCCGGGCCATAAATTCCCATATTTCTTTGTCACCTAACACTTCCCTGAATTGCTCAGGCAATTGCTTAAACTCTCTCTTTCAGTTTGCCTTTGTGGCTTCAGCTGTAATGGTCTGGATCTGATGCCATCTGTAAGCCTGGAGTGTTAGCCATGCATTAGAATCACTCATGTTCCTTTCACAGGTCACTACAGGCCGGTAAAGCAATGCCTTTAGTCAAAACATCAAGTCTTATTTGTATACAGTGGAGGCCTGTCTCTGCTGCAAAATAGATCAGATACAACTGTCCCTACTAAGCCACCTGCTTCTCTCTGTTGCTGAGAGGGAATGAATCAGACAGAAAACTATCATTTTAAACAAGCACAGTTGTATTCACATGGAACCGGAGAGTAATACTGAATTTCTCAGAGCTAAGGCAAGCTGTTATAAAGGCAGACTGTATCTATTGTGCATTCATATTGAAATCCTGTGGTCCAGCAGAGAGATTGGAAAGTAACTCTTGGCTTTTTCTTGTCAAATTCATCTTTGGGAAATGAGAATGTTTCTGGCATATTTGTGTCCACATCTAAATCAGTTCACCCAGAGCTGTTCATGCTGATGGAAACATTAAAGGGATGAGAGGCCATTTGCTAACACCTACCTGAGGGCAAGGGAGAGAAAACCACTTTTGTCATAACTGTCGACAAAAAGATTAGGCAGTTCCATTCTACACAACATTGCTAACCATATCAACATTCATAATAGAAATAAGAACAGCAAATATAATTAGATAAAGTAATTGCTGTGTAAGAGAATGAGAGGACAGCTGAACCACATTGTTGTTTCTCGAAGGAAGCAGAAAACACTCCATACTATTTCATCAAATGAAAATATCTGAGCAAGAATTGTGCTCATACAATATTTATTTTTGCATAATGTAAAAAAATTATCTGTTAATAATTTTTGTTTTTTCCCCAAAGACATCATGATTATAAAACACTAATATGGCACTTTTTATCATAACAATTAATTTTTCATTGGAAATGAGAAAGTAAATAGGATCTATTAAAATAGACGAAATAAGTCAGGAATGTCAATAGACTTTCAGTAAGTGGCTGTATTTTATTCAATTCATGATCTAAAATGATTGTAATCTGTCATATTAGCACCCTTATTAATATGTGTTTCTTTAAATTTATTAATAGTTTTTGGCTTTAAATTCTTTGTTACCTTCTCTAAAATGATATTCCACCTTAGCTACTGACTGACCAGTGAAGTTTGGACTGCACAAAGAAAAAAATTATCTTTGGAAAGAGTTACCATCATTGAAATAGTTAAATTATAATTCTTAGATACACAGGTAGATAGATATTCTGATATAATTAGTTACATTCTATGGATAACAAGACTGGAAACTTCAAATAGTATTAGTGTCTGTTTAATTGAATATTCCTGAAATAAAGCTCAAAAAAGGAATTGATAGTAAATTGTCAAATTAAGCTATGTTTCCTGTGTTAGCAGAGATAAATTAATTCTACTTACCTCTAACATAATTTTAATACAACTGGATTTCAATGCACAATTATTCAGAAGCAATGAAATGAGTACATGCAAGCAGACAGCATATCCAGAAAACTAGATTTCAAAAGTTTGCTAGTAAACCTATTATTTAAGAATTAAGTCTGTTTTTCCTAATAGACGGTCTTCAAAACAGGGTCAAATGCTGGCATTCCAGGGATGAAACTTAGCTGTAGAAGAGATTTTTTGTACTTTGGAGCTATTGGCTTGTTCTTCTAATTAGGGCAAACCATATTAAAAAACTCAGACTTTTAGTGTCTTAGCAAAATCTTTAGATTTAAAAATGGGACCGTATGGCGGTGGTCAGTTGGAGTTCATAGCATGAGGTGTGCATTTTTTCTGGTTTAGCATTGTCCTCCACCAGCTCATCCCGCATATTCCTATGCATTTCAAGGAGTAGGTGCTGGCCACGTGTGACAGGAAGAGACGCTTTTCCCTGGTACCTCCATACCTGGATGCAGCAAGAGGCTAATGAGGATGATTTTAACAATTCCAGTACTTCTGAATGATAGAATTTGCTACTGAGGTTTCATCAGAAGGTAGTTGGGAGGAGGAACAGATTAGAAGTGGGGACAAGTAGAGACCATTCATTTGACTGAGATGACTTCACACCAAGCATTCAAAAATGGGTACTCAAAGAATATGCAATTGATTCCAATAAAAAAATACAAAAACATTCTGAGTATGTATAGTGTTCGTTTGGCTCTTTTTTAAAATTGATTTTTAATATAGACTACTAGTGTAGATGCATAAATATAGTTATCCAAATTTAAGCTACTCTTTTCTTCCACACAGTCACCAAATAATTAACAAAATACACAAATAGGCATAAAAGAAAAATAAAATCATACAACTCCCAAAAAATTTACAAAAGGAGGGTGAGAAAAACAACAAAAAGTGTTTTTCTAAATTTTTTATTAAAAAATGTCATAAGCCATTTTCCTTTAATTTTATATTTAGTTAAATTTTAGTTTATTTTTATAATCAAAATTAAGAAAAATAATTTTAATGGCATCAAAAAAGTTTGTATTACACAAAAACGTTGACTTTTTTTTTTGCTTTCAGCTAAAAATTCCTCCTGCAACATTTATTCAGAGTTTGAGTGTGGAAATGGTGAGTGCATTGACTACCAGCTCACCTGTGATGGCATTCCTCATTGTAAGGACAAATCAGATGAAAAACTGCTCTATTGTGGTAAGTGTCCTATATGTGATTTCCTCATTTCAGAGAGAAGATTCTTTTTATAATTTTTGGTTTGTTTCCATTTGTTTTATGTGGATGATATCTTTAATGTCTGTCATTAACGTGTAGATCTAAGGCAATTGACTTGGCTTTGCTTGTGTTAGAATGAGGCACTTTATTTCCTATTCAGTAACTGTAATATTCATTAAAGAATTTCCTTATGGTTTTCCATCCACAAAATGCAAACTAAAACAATATAGGAGCCTGTCTTATGAACTACCTAGTTATTCAACTTTAGCAACAAGTTTTAGGCTTATATTTCTTAAAATATAATTTAGAAATACCAGTGATTTGTGGATATTGTAGGCTTACTGTGCAGCAGAGATCCATCATCAGTCACTAGCATGTTGTTGGGTGGGTTTCAAAGTCTTGTTCACTCTATTTCTGTCTCTAGCATTAGCATAGGGGCTAGTGTCCTTTGGTACAAAGGCCAATTGCTTTAGCCATGGTCTCCACCAAGCATGGAATTCGACCAGCTGTGTCTCTGTTGGTGACACCAAGTAATAGACAACCTCTACCTCTCCCTCAGGAGTAGAGATTGGCTTTTCTACCCTAGTAACTATAATTTGCCTTCATTGCAACAATATTTTTCATGGAAATTTGTCTTTGTACAATCGTTAGTAAGTACTGTACAATTGATCCAGGTTATTTGTATTTTTTTTTATTTTTTATTATATATTTTTTTAAAGATGACGGGTAAGGGGATCTTAACCCTTGACTTGGTGTTGTCAGCACCATGCTCTCCCAAGTGAGCAAACTGGTCATCATTAGATAGGGATTCAAACCCATGGCCTTGGTGTTATCAGCACCACACTCTCCTGAGTGAGCCACGGGCTGGCCCCAGATCCAGGTTATTTTTAAATTGGTGTGATTTAATATTTACCCTACAAATCCAACAGCATTGGGATGGTATGCTATGCAAAATTTAGGAATATGGAATTGCTATATGTCATTTTTACTTTTCTCCTTTGTTCTGTTATTCAGGTAATAATTATACCTAAATAATCAAACAAAAGTTAAAATGAGGAAGATGAATTTTGTGAAATCCACAGGCAGTCTTCTTACCCTTTTATGTTATAGAATAGCACACCCTCAGTTAAAATGATAATCAATTATGCTTTGTCCATGATTGATCTTTAACCAAAATCTTAGGGAATTTACCTTGAATAATGTATGGCTATATCCTGTGCAATATGAAAATATTAAAGCATAAAAAGAATTATAATAATCGGCTTACAGATTTGCATTTACTATGAATTGGCTTAAGAATGTATTTCACATTATTTTTATCTTCATAGCAGCCAAATAATATTCGTGTAGAGAAGTTGGCAAGCTTTTTTCTGGAAAGGTTCAGCTACTAAATATGTTAGGCTTTGTGGGCCATACATGCCCTCTGTCACATATCCTCTCTTTATTTATTTATGTATTTATTTATTTTACAATACTTTAAAAATGTAAACATTATGGCGGTGAAAAGGGAACTCTTATCCACTGTTGGTGGGAATGTAAATTAGCACAGCCATTATGTAAAACAGTATAGAGGTTCATCAAAAAACTAAAAATAGAATACCATATGATGCAGAAATCCCTCTGCTGGGCATTTATCCAAAGAAAAGGAAATCAGTATACTGAAGAGAAATCTGCATTCTGATGTTATTGTAGCACTACTCATGATAGTCAAGATATGGAATCAACCTAAATGTCCATCAAAAGATGATTGGATAAAAAAATGTGTTATAAATACAGAATGGAATACTATTCAACCATAAAAAAGAATGATATCCTGTCATTTGCAGCAACATGTTTGCTCCTGAAAGACATTACGTTAAGTAAAATAAACCAAGCACAGAAAGATAAATACTGCATGTTCTCACTCATATGTGGGACCTAAAAACAGTGGAGCTCATGGAAGTAGAGAGTAGAATTGTGATTACTAGAGTCTGGGAAGGGTAGGGAGGAAAGGGGGAACAGGAAGAGGTTGGCTAACTGATACAAATTTACAGCTAGATAGGAGGAATAAATTCTAGAATTCTATAGTAGTACTAGGCATCTATTATCAACATCAATTTATTGTGTATTTTAAAATGGCTAGAAGAGAGGAGTTCAAATGTTCTCAACACAAAGAAGTGATAAATGCTTGCGATGATGGACATGCTAATTACTCTGATTTGAACATTGCATATTGTATACATGTATCGAATTATAACTCTGTATGCCGTAAATATGTATAATTATCACATCAACTAAAAAATAATAATAGAAACAAACAAAAAAATCTCTTGAGTATAAAAAGAAAAAACAACCATTCTTAGATGAAAAGCCATACAAAAACAGGCTCAAGGGCTCAAGGCTAGATTCAGCCTGTGAGAAATAGTTTGCCAACCCAAGGTGTAGAGCGTAGTCTTTGGAATCACACGTGGGGTTAGTCAAATCTTTGTTCCCACATCTATTAGTATGTGACACATGTGAGCAATATGACTTCTCTATGTTTCAGTGTCCTAATACAAAACAACTAGGTCTAACAGTGATTGAGAGCATTAAATAAGCAAGTGTATATTGACGTGTACTCAGTACAGAGCCTGGCTTAAAGTTAGTGTTCAGTAAATGGCAGCTATTGTTAGTGGTAGCTTCTGCCCCAAATCAGAGAATATCAGGAGACTTTCATTATCAGAAAGTTATTCATCATTGTAGGAAATTCTTTACACATTTTTAAGATAAAATTATTGATATGAAGATGACTTTTTGATACATTGATTCAGGAATGTATGTTTTGCTGCTTTTTTTTTTTCTTGTAAAATCCTTGCTGATGCAGATAAGGTAAGAGATGAAAGTTGGAGTGTTTTTGTTACTTTTGAGGTAGGCATTTATTTTTTCAGAAATGAGTATATGGTATGTTTATTTCTGTGCTACTTGACAGAAGTGCCAGAAACAATGTGAGTATAACCTGAAGAGATTTCCAGGTATGAATCATTGAAGTTAAAACACTAAATCAAAATGGGTCTTTCTCGAATGAACTACTCCTTGATAATACATGAATATTCTAATCCAGAGCTTTTATAACACACAGCACTTGTTTTACAGATCCACAATCCAGTTATGAATAACATCTTATTTGTGATTTTCATTTTGTAAAAGTATTTCTATATGTCCTTCACTTATGAGATTCTTCTTTTATTTATAAGAAAACAGAAGCTGTCGAAGAGGTTTCAAGCCATGTGATAATCGTCGTTGCATTCCTCATGGCAGGTTATGTGATGGTGAAAATGACTGTGGAGACAACTCTGATGAATTAGACTGTAAAGGTAAATATTTGTTACATCAGCCTAGGACATTGTTATTCTAAGTGTTTCTTAAATTTTTCCAGAGTTTGTTCCTGAGAGAACTATGGTATAAACACCTAATAACACCTATGGGCCACACTTTGGTAAATGCATTTGGAGTGGAGTTACTAAAGTTAATTGAAAATTATGACCATAGTCTCTGTTTCTTTTTTCTACTCTTTTGCTTACTTTAAAACTCTCACTTTTTCATCTCTCCAGTTCTACCCCTCTGTTTTTTATTTTTGGACATTTCTACCAGAATGTGTAATACTGCATATACTGCTCCAAAAATGTTCGCTTTATTCCTTAGTTTTCTGTTTTACCCATGATCGCACTTTTTCTAACCACTGGACAGGTAATTTTGGTCTTACTTTGACTCCTCCTTCCAATGTGAGGGTATTTCAAAAAGTTTGGGGAAAAATAGAATTGAAAGATAATACAAATCTTTCCATGAACTTTTTGAGTACCCTTGCATCACTTGCATATCCAATCACCAGCAAATCTTCCAACTCTTTTAAAATAGCTTCCATGTCAATTTACCTTAAGCCAGGATTAGCAGAGTATCTCTTTAACTGGCTTTCTTGCCTGTACTTTTCCCAATTCATCCCCATGTTGTTAGTTAAGCTAATACTGTTTAACTAACATTTTCCCACAGTGACTGCAGGTACAGACCATCAAACCAGACTACCTGGCTTAAAACCTCCACCCCAACACTTACTGTCTAAATCTTATTGCCTATAAAAGACCTTTAACAAATCTGTGTCTCAGTATCCCAAAATGTAAGATAGTAAAATTAATAAATTAATATTAAATAAGGTTAGAACAGTACTTGCCATATAGTAAATGCTATGTAAGCATTTGCCCTTAAAAAAAAAAAAAATCACTGCCCTGATAAAGAACCACTGATGGAGTACTAGTGTTTGTAGAACAAATGAAGAGTTTTCTAGTCTGACATTTAAGGTCTTCTCAAATCTGGACTCAACAAATATTTCCAAAGCAATTTCCCTTTAAAAGTCTTTCCATTCATCAAACACACTTTATTGAATGCAATGCATTAAGGGCTCAGACACAAAATTAATGAGACCTGTGCCTTCTCTCAAGGAGTTCAAATTCTAAGTGAAAGATAGTCATGTAAACAGATGAAGATGTATGTAAGGTGCTGTGGTTGCGTATATCAGAATATGCAGAACACGAGGGGTTTTTTTGGCTTGGAAGTATCCTCAAAAGTTTTATAAGCTAGATTAAATTTAAGCGGAGTGTTCAAGTAGGTATAAGGTGAAGTGATTGAAACAGAGATAATTTCAAGTAGAAGGATTGACATTGAAAACTGCAAGTAATTTGATATAGTTAGAGCCAGATTGCATATAGGGGAGTGGTTAAAAAGAAAACAGAGAGAGCTAAGTCAGAAGAAGGAGCCAGGGCTTGATTTTTTTGTGCTGTGTTGGGTAACTCGTACTTTATCTTCTAGTCACCAGAAAGTCACCGAGGTTTAAAGCAGGCCAAATGTCAAATTTACATTTCAGAAAAGAAAAGAAAAAACTATGATCGTGTGAATGAAAACTGTAATTTGCGATTGGAAAGACAAAACAGGAGGCTGCTACAACAGCCAAAGCTAAGAAAATAAAAGGAGGAAGAAAGAGTTTGCATGATTTTAAAAGGTAGCATAAGAAGAGGTTTTCTTTGGTAATAAACATAGAGAAAGCATGAGAAAGAACAGAGGAGTTTTGTGGGGGGAGATGACATATTTTGAAATTATTTGTTTTCATTTTATTTATTTATTTTTGTGGGCCTTATGTTTGGGTGGGGTTAAGATAATAATAGTTTGCATTCTGAGGTTGGAGCACTTGATAACATTTGAATGAAGCTTTTCCAAAGGCTGGTAGACAGGTGGAGATCTGAGCTTAGATAGTATACTTGGACCAGAAGTATTGATCTGGACTCGTTAAGGAGAGAATACTCAGGGTGTATGAAGTAATGGTTGCTTTAGGGGAATGTATCAAAATTACTTGTTGAAATGAGAAATTAAAGACATTGATATAAAAAGAAGTAGACCACCATAATAGAAGGATCCTCATAAAAAATTACTTTCTCAAGAAAAAAAGGATTATTCAGCATTTTAAGGTGTTACAGAGAGGGCAGGAGGGCAGGCCTGGACTGGAAGTATCCCTCATACTTGGCAAGTAGGAGATATTATTACCTTCACGACAGTCTATTCAGTGGAATAGCAGAGGAAGCCAGATCACATTGCATTGAGGCAGAAAATGGATTCACAGGAAATACAGTGAATGTAGACAGTTTTTAGAGAAGATTGATGGTAAAGAAAAAGCATGAAGTACAGTTGTGATGAGAAGGCTATGCAGAATTAAAAGTGCAGAATGTGTGCAAATTATTTTGTAGCTTTATGGAAGGTTGGGAATTTACTCTGCTGTCTTAGACTATATGACTTTAGGTAAACACTTTAGTAGATTGTCATCTAAGGACACTGTAGTTTAGGACACTGTAGTTTGATGTACAATGTAGCCAAATACATTTGCAATTTAAGTCACCTATTATTTCATGTTACCTATGAAACAATAAAAATGATAAAATGTGGTATGATGCTGTGAGTAGGTGGAGGGAAAAAGTAAGAATTTGGAAGAAATGAAGAAAGAAAACTAGAAAAGACCAAGAAATGAGTATGTTCTATCAGTTATCTGTAAGCAGGAGAGGAGACTGTAATAAAGTCATTAAGCCAGGATAAAAGTAAAAATAGCAAGCTAGAAAGTGTAGGAACTGAACCAAAAATATAGCAAGTAGCTTTTACAACAAAATTTATCAAAAGATACCATGGGAAGTTAATAAGTTACTATGGGTTTTCATGGAAAATGAAAGTTTGTTTTCAAAAGTGGTAAATAAATTAGTAAGTGTTTTCGGTTTATGAAATATAGTACCTCACACAAGGTAGGTGTTTATTAAATTCTTATGTGGCTGGTTGAGGCAGGAAGTCTTCAAAAAAATATAAATAGATTTTATTCTGCCTACTGATATCAATACCAGCTGCTGAAAAACAATACAAATAACTCAGAATATATTATTTTCTCTTTTTTTAGTATAAACTCTTAATTTCTGTGTTATAACTACTTCAGCTATATTCTTGGGCACAGAACAATGCATTTGTGAATCGAGCCTCTGTCATAACCTTTCTTTTGTGATAATAATAGTTTAAAATTATAGCAGCTGGATATCTTAAAAATAAACAAACCAAACTTATGCTTTGAAATTCTTCCTGTATAATGCAAAGTATTCAAAAATAAAATTGCTCGTAGAAACACAAGCAGATACTTTATAACTTACTAGAAGTTAGAGGATTTAATTAAATGGACTAGCTCCTTTGGGATAAACAAATGAGTAGCTTTTTAGATGAAAAGCTATTCATCTCTTTTAGGTTTAATTTTTCTTTCATCTTAAGTTTGCTTATATAGTATCTTTGTAGGACACCTTTCAAGCCATAGAGGGAAAACTTTCCTGGGTCCATTTCCCATAAGCCAGGCTGTGTCATAAGGCAGTGATTTCAGTGTGTATCACCAAACATCTCTCCCTTACAGCACATAGAAGATGATAAAGGCATACATAAGGGAGTAGGGAGAAAGGAAAAGAGTTCTGTCTCCAAGCATTTTCTCTCAGTTATTCCTCCTTTTTTTCTATAGTAAATACAACATGAGTATGTGGTTCTTATTGCATGTATATGTACACACACACATCACCTATTACTTTTGAACCAAAAACACCTAAAGTATATAAAAAATTAATGTGATCAGAAGTCAATAAATACTGGGAGATTTCGACAGGCTGTGGTGAGAGACTGTGGTGGAGCCATCTATAAATTATTTGAAGTTTAACTTAGATGTCAACAGTAATTATTACCTTTTTTTTAAAATTCCGCAAGGGCAGGGAGTGTATTTGCAGAGTGGAAATGGATGTTGCAAGGACTTATTTTTGGTTTCTTCAGTTTTTGGAGGAAAAGAGAAATTCAAAATCCTCATCAATCTTTTATTTTCCCTTTATAGGTATTCCTTTCATGACTGAGAGCTTTAGATGTCAGGCTACCTGGGGGGGGGGGGGGGGGGGGGCCCGGGGGGGGTTTGACAAAAAGTAGTCTCTTTGTATTCCTGGGGGGGGGGGGGGGCGGGGGGTGGGGAGATTGGGG